TAATCCCAGTAACAATAATAATGGTCATTAAAAAATCGAAACGTAAAGTCGTTTAGATATTTATTACGGAGTACTCGTTCTTTTCATCTTCTGTGCATACTATAATTCTGAAAGTTTTTCTACTTGCAATCATCGAGAGGTACCGTCCTTTACAGTCACACACATTATTATGTTCTCATTGAATAAATTATTTGTACATCTTCATATTTACCTGAACTGAGTGGAAGATAGTATTTCTAGAAGAGCCCTATCATGTTGCATAATATATACCACACAATGTAGCGAAGATGTATAAGACATTTAGATATTTTCTGAATAAACTGTCTGCTCGTATGCCGACTACAAGTATACATAATAATTATATACCAACCCTATTCGCAACACAATACATCACATATGGCATGATACTGAGAAATTCCACAGTCTTGACTTTATACTGAAGCGAAATTAATGTCGCTTGAAATCGCTTGAAATTGATGAATTGTACATTACATTACAATGTGTAGAATGTAAGTATTCAATGTGCGTACATTAAACTCAGCATTCCTGGAAATAATAAGGGCTAAGATTGAAATAAATACGTAAACAGAAATTTTGGATTTACTAATTAATTTATGGAAAACTATATAATTATCGTGCCCAAGTACACGTTTGTTTATTTATATTTTACTTTTGAAGCACGTTGAATGCCGTGTATGACATTTTTAAGATCTGAAAGGAAAATTAGAGAAATAGAATAGAAAGCAGTGCAGTTATTAAAAATTTCGACTTATATTTTTCGATATGCACCACAAATGTGTCACTGACATAATTTTGCATTCAAGTATTTGATTTGTCATCAATTTATTATGACAGAACTACTAACATTGCTGTAAGACTGAAGAGACAGTGTTATCAAGAAGCTGCTAGTAAACTTTATTGGAATTGTGCTTCGCATCATGATTAACAGCAAGTCCCTTTGTTCGTTAATTGATAGTAATGGCCAGTCCATGCAATATATAGCGTTCCCTACGCTCGTACTCTGCCAACATAACATAATTAAATTTATCACTTTGCAATAATATCGAATGGTTATCAATATTATTAATATTACTAGCATTAGTGTGTACACACATTCACGTACGTACGCACGCATCACATCATGCATATGTACATATATAAAAATTTATATATACATACTTCTATCGACTAGTGCCAGGTAAATTGTTAATTTCTCTCGAAATTGTGTTAAAAATCGAGTGTTCGTGAGTATCTATTACCTGAATAAAATACATCATTTTGGTGTAGAGTGTAGATTTTGATAAAATTACCTTAAGCATGACTTCATTTCCAGACCAGCAAAGTATGTAGATTTGTACAAACATTCCAATGGTGTAGAATAATAAAGTCACAAGTCCAGACAGTTCCGCAATATGAGTTGACAAGTAATACACACTTGTACATAATACCAGTATGCTTCCAGAAAATTGAACGAAGAACACTTGGTTGAATATAGCGTTTACCGCTTTGGCATATCTATAATTGGTTCATGTTAGTCCTGTATATATTGCATATAAGTAAAGCTGTTACACTTTTAATACATAATTTTATAACATGATTTGTACAAATCTAAATTTCTCTCTGTTTTCGACCCCGTATTAATTGTTTATTGATATCAAATGATACTATACCTTTTCACTATAATCTTTCTATTATAAATCACAGTGATTACTATCATAAATAATATTGATTTTTTTTACAAAAAACAACGCATTTAAATACGCACGCAGACATAAAAAGGCATTTGAAATACAAGATCTGTAAAAAAATACCCGACTCTTTTTCTCATAATTTTTGTTGGTATATTTATAACTTATTTAGCCTTGTTGCCTTTAAAAGATGTTCTTCCTCGATTGATACATCACTCCCAACGTCGTTTCCACTTCTAGATATCCACGTTGAAAGGCGGAAGATCGCAGACAGACTTAGGCGCGATTCCGAAAAACGCGTATTAGAACTAATTCCAGAATTATAAATTTGTGGAGTATTAACCGAGAAAGAACATATTTTGAAGACGACAGAACTGAATAAGATAAAGATACGCCCGGAAAATTATAAGAAAAGTTCGAAATTTTTTTGAACAGAAATCATATATGCATGAATTGCACGGAGTTTAACATGACTTAACCCGGTTCTACAATACGTCGCAAACGATGGCAACTGCCAGTTGAAAAGTGTTATTTCTGCATGACTGCCGATTGCCAGTTACTGTCGCCAAAAAAATTAAAAGTTCGCCAACCCTCTTTTGACAACCGCAATTGACAAGCGCAACATGAAAATAACACTTTTACAACTAGCAGTTGCCATCGTTTGCGACGTATTGTAGAATGGTTTGTAGAATGGTCCTTACTCGTAAATGCTGAGATGATGATGTATGCACTCTGATATCTCCGTTTTGTCTTTATTTGACAAAGAGAGACCATGTTCCAGATATCTAACTGTTTTATTAATTATTAATTTGTGAAGACGATATTCGAAAATTTCAAGCTGGGCACACGTTTGCAAAAACAATCCGAAGATTAAGGTATCCGTGCCGATACTTATCATTGTGGCAAAAAGCAAAGATACAATTTGATGAATGGATATAATCCAGAAAACTAGAGGTATATTATAATCCCACGGCAGCCATATTCGATAAGGCATATGACCTTGCATAACATTTAATACTGATCCTATTGTAGTGCCTGTAACGGCGCTAGTCGCCAAAAGTGCGTATTTTATAGAATATGACCTGTAAATACAGAAAGAAAGTTATGTTTTATTATTTAATAACTTTTGTACATTTATGACATTTAAAATTTACTCATATATTTTGTAAATGTAACGAAAATTTGCGTTAATTTATGACAGGATTTAATTATTCTGTGGTTGCGTGTTTGTGCGTGTGTCTATGTGTAATACTGCTTTAAAATAATACCTATTTAATTTATTTTATACACACAATATTTTTTAATTCAACAAAATATAATTAGTAATTAAGTCATTAAGTTTAAATGACCATGATTATTCTAAAAGTATATAAAATGAATAAAGTCCAACAATTAATAAAGGTCCTGTAGGGAGCGCTAAAAATATAACATTCCGCATGTTTAGTTAGGTCCAGGACAAAAGAAATATGTAAAATACAGTAAACAGACTATATTCTTGCGATAATTCGTGCAAGGTACATTAATATTCCACCATAAAATTTTCTAATTAATTATACGTACCTGATAAACTTATCAGACTTTGTTTGTATCGCCGATTCGTCTTCATCACAAGGTTTACACGGTGCTTTCATCAATAGTCGCATCAAATTGATAATCGCATTCCGACGCATCACAACGACTGTCGCTTTGCAACATACGGCAACAAGAGTCAGGAATATTAGAGTATTATTGGCAAAATCATCGATATTGTCGACGATAAGTACTATATCCATAAATTGAGTTAACACCACAAAGTATTCCGAAGATATTATAACAAAGGTAAATACATTGTATAATAGTTTTGCGGCATTGGATGACCATTCACTAGGTCGCCATAAACCACAAAAGTTATACACTAAAAATTGTAGTGTAAGTATTTGCATATTTGGATCGCTTTCTTTACAAACAACTTATCAATGTGCTGCACAAAAGTATAGTCTCTTTCTACACATAAAGAAAAGGTTTAAAGCATTGCGAAAAGTATCTTTTATCATACATGCCAGATTAAATATAGCCAACGAAACATATGTACATCCCAAGGAGCGACAATGCGCGTATAATGCGCTTTGAATGTACATTAAATTTTGCATTAAATGCGGGTATTTGTCCCGCATTATATGCGCATTTAACGCATATTATGGACGCGCATATCAAAAAGTGCACGTACGCATTGATCGAGGAACCCAATCAAACAACTAGTAAACTCTGTACTATATTAGAATTTATTTTTGTGCCCAGCTTTTAAGCATTGCTGTGAGCATATTCCAGTACCAGCTATCACAAAAGAAAAGAACCTTCTTATTTAGATAGAATATCTTTATTTTTGACATGATAAATGTCATTTCAAGTGTCATTTACTTAAAAAATACAATTTTTAAAATTCAATTCATATAAAATTTAAAAACTTAAATAAAATGTTTTATAATGAGTCAGAAGTTACTCATTTCAATATTTTATAAAACATGTTACTTATAAATTAAATGCTAAATTTACATTGATTACGATTTGAGTGCGCGCATTTTGAACACACAATTAATATAGTTTTGAAGCCAATGCAATTGTACGCGCATTAAAAGCACGTTATACGCGCATTGGCGCTCCTTGGGATATAAGATAATTGTAAGGAAAATTAAATTTAATGCAAAAGCCTGTATAATATTTCACGAAATAAATTAATAAATTAATAAATTCTACAAACTGATGATTAAATCGCACACTTAACACTGAATGTAAATGTCTGCGATAAATTTTATTTACTCAACTCATAGACCGCGTACTTTAGTTTGAGAATCAGACGGAGAATCTTAAATCGTGTGAATATAACTAGAAAGTAATATTTCTAAGTATTAATCGCGCATCTGTTTCAAAATATCGCGTCTTACATCTTGCTACTAATACAACACAATTAACAAATATTATAGATAACGTGTTTTACTATCGTGAACGTACGTCAAAGAGTTTTATTTAAATGTAACCATGCAAGGACGTCTTGCAACGGACTATGTAGTTTTACATAGTTCGATCAATTTCTAATCCCAGTAACAATAATAATGGTCATTAAAAAATCGAAACGTAAAGTCGTTTAGATATTTATTACGGAGTACTCGTTCTTTTCATCTTCTGTGCATACTATAATTCTGAAAGTTTTTCTACTTGCAATCATCGAGAGGTACCGTCCTTTACAGTCACACACATTATTATGTTCTCATTGAATAAATTATTTGTACATCTTCATATTTACCTGAACTGAGTGGAAGATAGTATTTCTAGAAGAGCCCTATCATGTTGCATAATATATACCACACAATGTAGCGAAGATGTATAAGACATTTAGATATTTTCTGAATAAACTGTCTGCTCGTATGCCGACTACAAGTATACATAATAATTATATACCAACCCTATTCGCAACACAATACATCACATATGGCAT